CCTCCTCACGGCTTCTGATTTTCTCATTGATACATCACGTTAATGTGATGTCTTTGTGCACTTCCTCAGTACAGTATGTCTATATAGCACTTGGAAGGGATTGGAAGAGAAAGATCTCGTGTATTGTGTGTGGATAGAGAGTGAAGGAATGGTGTCCTCTTGGACCATCGGGTATCGAGCCCAGACCATACAAGATGCAAGATTGCTGGAACCACCAGTGTAGGTACATTGGCGAGGATCACCCTAAATAACTTATTTTATGTTCATGAGGTCAACAATTTTGTCAAAGTCCCTCAAATCACTATTGGCTTTAGTAGGCAGCAGAGTGTGTAGTTAGTTGGAGGCTCTCAAGCGGGTGTTTACCTCCACAAACAAGCCATTTAAAATATTTTTGGAACATGTTCTTGCTGAACACCGAAAACACGTTATTAAACACACAGATTCGAGAACTACCAATGGAGCTTTGCAACAAGAACACTTTTGTGACAACATCCATCTAGCAACAATGTTGTTACATTAATGCAAACACTCAAACGTCAAGGTTATCGGATATTTATCAACTGGGCGCCCAGGTCATGTAGGAATACTAGGGAATGACATTAAAGGTGCAGCTGCAACACTTGCAAATAACAGAAGGAATATAGACATTTGCAAACCAAAGATTCAAGCACAGATTAAGAAAACAATTAGAGATAGAGCGATGCAGAAGATGTATCGTGACCACCTGACTATAATTGAGCAGCTGCGACACCAGCATGGACGGGATGCAAAAATTTAACCAATTTCATTTGGTTGAACCTATTAATAAACCAATTAATTTTGTCAAAGCAATAGCAGAACAGAAATAACACATAAGGAATATAGGCTTACAGGTTCCAGAAGAAGAGAGGAGTTTCAGCATGGTTGAGAAAAGGCCGACAGAACACTGGAACATTATCTAACACAGTGCACAGTTACAAACAAGATTTCAGCTGACTTAACAAGGCAGAGGAAGTTGCTAAACACATTTGATAAACTTACTGAGCCAAAAAAAGGTCATAAATACTCATCGACTGCCTGAGTAAGACAGAAATGAGTAACACTTGGTGGGCCAGCCAGAGGCTCAGGGCCAGCACAGGAATATCACGGCAAAAAAAGAATGCCTGAATGGTAACTTACACTTCAGTATCTCAAATATATATCACCTTTCATATTATAAGCTAAATGTTAATCACTCTATTTAAAAAATGTAAGTTTGATTTAGACTGTTAGTCCAGTTTGTCTGTAATGATCTATATATGTTGTTACGAATATAGTTTCTAATTCTGATTAGAGAGGGTGGAGTGGAGGTGGGCCGAGTGACGGGTCCTGGCTGGTACAGAGGTGGTGTGCGTTGGAGGGGAGGCGGGTGTAATGAAATGTGGAGTGGTCAGTCCGCAGGTTTTCGCAGCCTTGTGTCAGGTCTGACTCCCAACATCCTGTGTGATGGGGATTTTTTTAGCATCACCTAGTTAGCTTTTTTGATATACTGTACTTCACTTCATATAGTTTAGGGTAGCTGCACTAATGCAGATGTACCTAATGTATTACAAAAAATGCGGTATCATTGCTACCTCATTCACTCATGTGTTCCTCATGAGAGAATGAGGTAGACTACTATTCCTCATATCCTCATAATGCACCCAGAGTTTGTCAGTGCAGACTACTGCTCACATGCCTCTATATGGCTTACCATACTGAGTGATGGGAACTTTTAGCATCACATAGCTAATTTTTTTACACACTCTGTACTCCCCGTCACATAGTCTAGGAAAGCTGCACAAATTCAGATGTACCTAAATGTGTTAATAAAAATAATGACAGTACGATTAACCATCCTGCCAGGTGTGAGTTTTTAGTATCACACAACTGACTCTCGACACACACTGTGTAACCCTTCACAGTCTAGGGCAGCTGTATAAATGACCAGGTACCTTAGTACGTTAGTAATGCATCATTATTTCTAGACTTACGGCAGGGTTTATCTCTTTCCTCACTAGAATAATTAAAATGAGGGAATATCTGAAACTTTTCTTGTTCTTGAAAAGAATATACAAGTGAACAAAAGTAGCTCTACTTCTGCATTAGAAAAATCCACAGAAACATTCAACCTGTCCTCACACTTAATGCACGCTAAATTTGACACTATCTACAATGACGTTCAAATTTCGGTGCTTCTGGGAAATTACAAGCACCGTACATTGACGCTTCCTGGGACTAATGAGCTTCAATGTACGGGGCCCCAATAATTGAGGCAGGTTGCCTATGTTCGTACACTTGGAGTTGCATCATATTTAATGTATGGACTCGGGTTGGAGGAGCATGGCTTGTAGCGGTGACTGACGCACAGTGTGACTTGTTACAGAAGCGGGCCAAGGGTCAGGCGCTGCTGGACCTCGTCTTCAACCACCTGGAGCTCATCGAGAGGGACTTCTTCGGCCTGCAGTACATTGAGCCCTCCACCAGCAACGAGAACCCCAAGGTCAGTATCTGTAGTGTGTGTGTCGCCCTCGCCCTAGACATCACCAGTCATCAGTCAAGCTTTAACTGTGTCGTGTGTGTATGTCTGTTTGGTCTATATAGTTTCTCAGTCATGAATATGCACCGCGTCCTTCTGTTTAGCCTGTTCTTATAGTAACTAAGAAGCACCATGCGTGAGGGAAGATGTAGAGGTTTCGTAAGTGGCGGCGTAACTGGTGACTCGTGGCCCTGATCAGGATCTTCAGTAGTCATCATCTTCCCTCTGTACACGCGGGCCAAGATGCTGCGACACAGTCTTTAACATCAACAAGTTTAGAGTTGAAAATGTGGTTTGTTTTCCTCATCTCCCGAAGGCTCGCTACACAGCCCTTACGTCACAAGACACTTGAGAGTTGAAGTCTTACGCCAGACAAGTTTGGAGGAGGAAACTTAGTAAAGAGCAAACTTGGCCGGTGGCAGGTGGGGGGGGGCAGGGGCTGGCCCCCCACCCCTCTCCTCCCCTCCTCTAGAACACATCTCCCCCTTCCCACAACTCTCCTCCTTCCATCCCCTAACCCTTTCCACCCCTGAACCCTTGACCTTCCACCTCTTCCCTTCACCCTCCCCCTCTTCCCTTCACCCTCCCCTTCCATTCCCTTCCTCCACCCCTTCCCTGCCCCATTATCTTACCCTTCTGTTACCTTTCGATAATTCCGAGAATCAACGTCTCCGCGGCCCGGTCTCTGACCAGGGGCCTCCGCAGCTTCCCGAAACTACCAACATTTAATGTAATATTCTGTGGGTAGTCCGACTTAGGCTAAATAATATATATTTCTGCCTCGTGAATATTACTGTGAACCGTGAGTGTTACACAGCCGATCAACACGCACACTAACTGGATGGCCTGGTAGCTGTGCTCCAAGTACGAGTGTGTGTCTCCAGTAGTCCCGCCGCAGTAGTCCTCCTCTCGCTGTATCATTTTACGCACGCTGGGCTTGGCCGGATGGCGGAGTGGCCGGATGGCCCGGACTGAGCACATTAATTACACGGGTGATGAGTGGGGGTGAGAGGTTGGCGGGCCGGCGGGAACCTTCCTGTGAGTGTACACACCAAGCAGTCACTAGTCTCCCAACCTCACGGCTCTCACGGCTATCTACTGCTCCTCATAATGGGGATGTCTTATGGTCGCAGCTTAATTATTTTAAGATCTGGGGACTCCAATAGCGCTCGCAGGAACATGGTCCATTACCTCGTGTCTATCTGTTTTCTGGAGTGAATCCGTCTCCTGCAGGATCGACGCCACCCTCACCAACCAAACACTTACACTCCTCATAGTGTACAACCTCCTAGCGTTTCCGAGCTCGTAAACTGTTTTATAAAATCAAACTAAGTCGCCATGATCGAGGGAAGATGTACAGGTTTCGTAAGTGGCCATGTAAATGGTTGATGAATACTGTGTGGTAGCATCTCCCAGACTCCGACCTCTGGGGTACATTTTGGCTCCTGCTGCCAGAGGTTCAAGTCATCCTTCAAGTTGGACTTCACCTCTGAACTTTTTCCAGCTTAGCCTTGTGCTGGACAAGGTACGGGCTCCATGCTGGGGCCGCATACTCCAGGATTGGTCTTACATATGTGGTATACTAGGTTCTGAAGGATTCCGCACACGGGTTTCTGAAGGCAGTTCTGATATTAGCCAGCCTGTGTACTCACCTATTTGTGAGAAGAAACTGCTCATTTTTGTTTCCCGCCGGTGCCGGGAATCTAACCCGGGCCACAGGATTACGTGTCCAGCGTGCTATCCACACAGCCACCGACGCCCCCTGTGTGTGTATGGGGGGGGGGAGGCAGCAGGGACTCCCTGCAGCCAGCAACAAGACTCTCCCAGGAAACCCGACCCAATTTATCTGTAGAAGAGTTTTTCCCCGCAGGAAATGTGTCTGTGAGACGCCGCGCCCGGGCTGATTTTGTATTTAATAAGTCAATATTGACTTATTAAATATGTGCATAGGTGACATACTTAACATAATAGATACCCTTAAAAAGATTCATAGAAAACACCGACCTTACCTAACCTTGTTAGTATCTTAAGATAAGCATCTTATTGCTTCGTAATTACAATTATTACTTAACCTATAATAGGTATAGGTTAGGTAATAATTGTAATTACGAAGCAATAAGATGCTTATCTTAAGATACTAACAAGGTTAGGTAAGGTCGGTGTTTTCTATGAATCTTTTTAAGGGTATCTATTATGTTTAGTATATCACCTATGCACGTAGTTAATAAGTCAATATTGACTTTACGAATTTGCGAGAACGGGTTGGATTTTGTTGGTGTGTGTGTACTCACCTTGTTGTGCCTGCAGGATCAAGCGTTGGCTCCTGGACCCCCATCTTTCTAGCCTTGTTGTTTTCTTTTAAAGCAATGATTTCTGTCCTTCTCTATCATACCTTGTTTTAAACTATAAATAGTGTTTGCTTCCCACAATGTGCTCCTTTAGTTCATTTCATTTCCCCACTACTCTCACGCTAAACGGAAACTTTCTAACATCTCTATGACTCGTCTGAGTTTCCAGTTTCCACCCATGTCCCCATGTTCTGTTGGTAGTCAGTGTGTTTTCGTCTATTTCCACTCTGACAATCCCCTTAAGTATTTTGTATGCAGCCATCATATCTCCCGGTTTCTTCCTGTTAAGACTAGGCCACAGCTGTCTTATTCACAAACACTAAGAACTGAGAGCTCCTCATACACTGTATCCACCTATTTCTCTTTGCACGATCGAGCTTTTAGCTCTTGGACCCCGTCTTTCAAGTCGTCGCTTGTCTGATGCAATGACTCCGTACATATTTGATCTTGTGTCTACCAGGCCAACTGCTGATCATTCCCAGGACGAAAACCACAACAGCTCTCTAACCTCCCAGGTGCCTCTTTACTCCTAGGTGAACAGACGCATCAGGCGAAAGGGAAACGTTGACCAAACGCTTCTGTCTGGTAACACGGGTTGTACCTGCGATCATCAATTCTAAGCATACGACTTAGCCCATTGAACCAAAGGAGCCTGTGGATCCAGTATGTTGTGGTAGGGTGTTGGATGTATGCAGGGGGGTGTATGGGGGGAGTGTATGTAGGGGGTGTATAGAGGTGTATGTAGGGGTGTATGGGGAGGGTATATGTAGGGGGTGTATGTAAGGGGTGTATGGGGGGTGGAAATTCAGGTACACATGCAATACTTGCAGGATATTCACATGGTGTACCTTACCTTCGACGAGGACAGAAAGCCGGCGGTTCGTCGAAATTTCCCACATTTGTCCTTGTGTAATATATATATATATATATATATATATATATATATATATATATATATATATATATATATATATATATATATATATATATATATATGTCGTACCTAGTAGCCAGAACGCACTTCTCAGCCTACTATGCAAAGCCCGATTTGCCTAATAAGCCAAGTTTTCCTGAATTAATATATTTTCTCAATTTTTTTTCTTATGAAATGTTAGTTACCCATTTCATTATGTATGAGGTCAATTTGTTTTTATTGGAGTTAAAATTAACGTAGATATATGACCGAACCTAACCAACCCTACCTAACCTAACCTAACCTATCTCTATAGGTTAGGTTAGGTTAGGTTAGGTAGCCGAAAAAGTTAGGTTAGGTAGGTTAGGTAGTCAAAAAACAACTAATTCATGAAAATTTGGCTTATTAGGCAAATTGGGCCTTGCATAGTAGGCTGAGAAGTGCGTTCTGGCTACTAGGTACGACATATATATATATATATATAATATTATTCACGAGAATATATGAACAGGTATATAACTAATGCCACCACCATTACCTAGGGTGGTGATGGTGGTGGTACTAATGGTGGTGGTAGGGGTGATACTAGTAGTGATGGTGGTGGTGGTGAAGATGGTGACTACCCTCCTTCACCGCACACCTGACCCCCTTGCCGCAGTGCCTGGGTGCTTGGGCGAGAGTGTAGCAGAGGTCTGGGCCACCCTCTTATGTCCAGGGTGTGACTATACAGTATTATGCATACACAGTACACAGTACTGTACATACACAGTACACAAGATAAAAACGTGACATTATCACCATTTTTAAGGATTTACTTATTAAGTCTACAACATCCAGACAAAAAAAAGAGGCCATCAATTCTCTGTAAGAAAACAAAAGTGCTCAAAAAAGTTGTATAAGAGTGTTTATGGAAGAGCCCAGACTCCGCCAGCCTCGCTCCCAGACTCCGCCAGCCTCACTCCCAGACTCCGCCAGCCTCGCTCCCAGACTCCGCCAGCCTCGCTCCCAGCTTTTGTCTACTCTTGGGTAATTACACCAGGACACGCACACACACACACACACACACACACACGCACACACGCACACACGCACACACACACACACACACACACACACACACACACACACACACACACACACACACACACACACACACACGACCTGTCCTGGTACAGTTCACTAACGAAGAGGCAGTGGATTACATACTGCATCACAAACACCTACTCAGAGGTAGCGAAAATTACTACAACGTATTTATTGACAAATTCATGACGAAGGAGGAACAGATTGCCCACAGAGCAAGCAAACAACAATACGACTCTTCCCATTTGAGCGCAGCTACACACCCCAGTGCTAATCCACCCCATGCTAACCAGCTCACACGTGCTTCTCAGGTCACCCCTTTCCCAAATCAGCCGCCCCTGCTTATCTCCCCAGCACATCCCTTGACCCCTCTGACCCCACTGGAGTCAAATTCATCCCACATTCCAAGGACCCCCTCATCACCTCAACCCCCAAAACCCGTCCAGCCCTCGTCCCCTCAACCCCCCAAACCCACCCAGCCCTCATCCCCTCAACCCCCCAATCCCATCCAGACCTCATCCCCTCAACCCCAAGAACCCACCCCGACCTCATCCCCTCAACACCCAAAGCCTGCCCTGCCCTCACCCCTCCTCATCCCCTCTCCTTCCATGTGACCCCCC